CGCGCGTCGCGACTGTACGCGTGCGCGCACACCTGCGTGTGTCTGCATGCACCTGTACGTGTGTGTGCGCAGCTATACATGTACACACGCTATGCACGCACGCACGTACATTACCCACACTATGCTACGCATGCACGCACGCTCAGATACGCACACTACGCACGGTCTACGAGGAGTCAAAGTTGAAAAAAATAGCAATTTTTCTCGTGGAAAAAAAAACGACACTTAAAATCGACTTTCCCGGAGAAGTTTCTGGTTTGTCGGGCAAAATGATTAAATCTGCGATGTGTTTGCGACGATGCACAGACATCCCTAGTGCCCGCTGCTTAGCACTTAACTCTGCGAGGCTTACCCCACTCTATGTACAGAGATCTGGAAAATATTCCTGCACTCTAGAATAAGAAGCAGCTACCCAACTATTACGTGCAAAGTCATGCGTCGCTGTAAAAGTACCATCCTAATTTTAAGGGTTAGCCAGCTACATGAAGAGACATACAGAGTTGTCGCAGTCTGGGATGAGGGCTTAACTACAGGCCAAGGCCTACATCACCGCAGAGTATAACTGCACTCTGGATGCGGCACCCAACTCTCACGCACAGAGACCTGCGTCCCTGCGGCAGATCATCGCACCACGGTCTGGGGTAGGGGCTACCACGACTCTACATGTGGAGATCAACTGTCTATTGCACGGGATGATCATGCGCGCGATTTATTTCTCATTATTTATTTATAGCTTTATTATTTATTTACCTGACGGCGTGTGCGTGTGCCCATTTGAAAACATTGTCGCAGACTAAGCGACCGATCCAGTCTTCGGGGGTCGCGCTAATACCGGCGCCCTCTGGTGGCGTTTGCACGCAAACGCCCACGTGCTGTCTTCATAGTCTGAACACGGGTAGTGCTGAAATCGCAAAAGAAATATTCACGGGAATCGGGAAAACAGAAGTAGTGGCGAAATAAATCGTAGCAACTAATTCTTATTTCTAGCGATGGTAGTGCTGGTCGCACTCGGACGGAGTTCTACCTACGCTAAGAAAGTGAGCAATGGAGTTCATTATTTTGGATCAAGCATACTTTGGGACCCCATGGGCTGTGCACTCCTGGTACATAAATCACCATCAATACCACGTGATCCTAACTCTAGTCTAGTTCTGTAAAATCCCAGAACCAATCTGGAGTCCTAACGTAAACATAGTCATAGGGTTAAACAGATAAGTATTAACTATAAGTATAAGATTAGGACCTATTTGTAGCTTATGTAAGGCAAAGTGTTTAGTTTAAGTACTAAAATAGTTCTGCCTGATATGTTATTTCATTGCCTAGTGGCAGTTGACACGAACATGCTTTGAATTTCAGTTTGGTACCCAACAAATTTGTGATTGTTGATGTCAGTCATTGACAGTGTTGACATTGTTCAATTTGTTGTTGATTATAACATATAACTTATAAGTATAAATAAAAAAGTTTCGCCTTACAAAATGAATTTAGTGGGAAAGTTTGCAGCGTTATATTGAATATTGTTATAATGAAAGTTAAATTGTAAGTTTGCAACTTGTGAAGTAGTGGCACTAGTGCTGTAAGTGTAACACAGTCTCAGAGTCAGAGCGACGAACCCGCGAGCCACGAAGTTCGTCTGCGATCGCCAAATAACGAACAACGCCTTCTATAATAACAAAATACACCAAGAAAACATACCACAAGTTCAGTGAAGAATGGCGTTACGTCCATGTGTAGTATTATACTTGGATTCTTATTTACATTTCATGTTCATTTTAGTTTAGGATGGACACAAAAACTCCTATTATCTTTCTTCAGCCTCAGGCTTTACACTTGGAAATGACCTCAGCCCAGTGAGGTCAAGCATTAGGAGTGCCACCTGGCGGACGTTAGAGGGCGCCACCACACACACAACAAAACCACGATGATTAGATTGAAATTTTTGGTCTACTGATCTTACTGTTCCAATTAAACTAAAATTGCTTCTTATTTTGACGTTATGTCTTAAAATTTGAAATGGCAGAAGAACAGCCGCCAGAGAAAACTCTCCCACGAGGACTGATCAACAGAGCTGGAACCCCTACAGGAAGAGGTGCCAGGTACTGCAGTCTAGACAACTTTAAATAGTGAACACGTGCAGCTGCAGAAATAGTGATGGATAGGGTGATCATAGTATGTTAATGTATCGGGTTCCCACCAAACCAAAATAGGGGTTAGCACTCTTGTTGTATTTAAATTGCACTTGTTGTAACAATGTCTTATTTAGTATTAATCGTATTAATTATATATACTAATTACTAGTATTACAAATCACGGCCGGTATTTGTATATGTATGGGGTGATACTCGCTTTATCTATTTCAGGTTACCTTCACTGCGCACACCGAGGGACCTAACCCTAGGAGGTATTCCAAAGAAGACCTTTGCACCGAATATCTCTTCAAGACGAGAAAAGAAAGAAGCTGGGTAAAATATCAACCTGCACTCGAGTCAATCAGCCAACTGCGTAATTCAGTAAAATCCCGAGTACAATATCTTTTAATTGTTTGATTTTGCAGGAATAGGGTGTGTTAATTCGTCTATACATTTCTGTTTGTGACCATTTCGCAGAGATGGACCAAGTCCAAGCACAAGCAAGAGTAGTGAACGCAAGCAATCGAGAGGACGAGGGGAGAGGGGCAGGGGAAGAGGACGTGGCAAGCCTGAAGTCATCCAGTCCGGTGGAATATTTTCTCAGGGTCCAGCCGACAGGTTGAACAAGACTAGAGGTGAGACAGTATCTCTAGTTAAGCATTAGCTGTATTAATGGAAGCGTGCATGACGTTTTCAAGAGTTTGATGATTAATTTCGATGATTTTCGTTGTTGATCGAACCTCTATTATATATTTAGTAGAGTTACATTGTTATATTACAAGGTGCATATATACTGCAATGCATATCATGGTGACCCTACTCCCCTGCGTCGTTTTTTTCTACATATATTTCCAGCGTCACCCAATGTGTGTGCACAACCATATTCCCCCTTTCAATTAAACAACTATTATTATTTATTATTTTATTATTACTAAAATGATGAATATGATGATTATTGTTATTATTATCATTATTATTATTACCGCCGCGCATGTAATCAGTCTCGTGTGTGTGTGTAGCCACCGCGCGATCGATAGCGCGTCGAGTCAGCAGCAGCCACCAGTGAGCGGCGAGTCAGCAGCAGGCGAGTCAGTCAGCAGCCGCCACCAGCGAGCACATACATGTTACATGCTCGCGGAGGTATGCACTCTCCGTGAGTGCCCTCTGTCTAGTTATTATTACTATCATTACACTGTGTGTGTGACACTGTGTGTGTGTGTTTCAGGGTCGTGGGGAACGTCGGCCGAGTCGGATCACATCCCGAAGCCGGTGATCAAGCGTGAGGCGACGGCGAAAGAAAATGGGCAGAAGGCAGAAAGGTTCGATATGATATGACTACTAGGCACTTTAATTAAATTAAATTTTTTTTTTTAGGGTTAGGGTTAGGTTTTTTTTTTAAGTGCCTAGTAATCATATCCTAAGTGCCTAGTAGTCATATCATATCGCACCTATCTGCCGGGTGCGTAAAATGGCGCGCGCGGGGTCATGAGGGGTCGCGAGCGCGCGTACGTCGTCTCTGAGCAGGTCGAGGATGCGCTTGTCGTCGACGGTGCGAGACATTGTCATCTTCCATCTTTGGTCCAAGGGGGGACCGAATCGTGGCGCCTCCACATCAGTGTTTGCTTTGTTTTTCTGTGACAGGGGCTTCACGGCTTAGTAGCGATTTCTGCGACGTGACCCCCATGCATGACATTTTACAGTTTTCGTGGCACCCCCGTCGCGGTCCAGTCACGGCAGAATCGTCCACATTCGCGGTGCTTTTTTTTGCGAGGTTTCTTTGCGACGGGCTTTGCAGCTCGGTAGTAATGTTTTCTGCGACATTTTTTTGAGTGCCTGAATAAATAAATAAAAAAAACACGTGAATTCTCGTCCACCGCGACCGATCTAGCTAAGCAGCTAATGTCCGAGGGAGGGGCTCGGAATTCTCGCTCAGAAGATCAAGGCGGGCTGCGATCGGGGGCGGGAATCGCGGAGTTATTGTCTCTCTTTTCCCTCGTCAGTTTATCGACGATGTGGGCAGCAACGAGGAAGGTCTGAACCCGGTTCAGCTGCCGCTGACGACCGCTTCGGCCGTGAAGGAGGAGGTGAGGGTCGTGCCACCGGAACACAAGATGATCCTGGAGGTCGAAGGGGTCAAAGGTGAGGTCGCCGTCTCATCATTGTCGTGTCATTCCGCTCTTTTGTTTCTGCGTCTCTTTATCCGTCTCTCACACACACTCTCTTGCACTCTCTCTCTCTCTCTCTC